TGATGGGCCAAAAAGTGTAAAAAATTAATACAAGGCTCCTGATATATTGTTACAATAGCAATTGAAAAATATTAAAAATACATAGGCATAATTTTTTTTTATAAGCATTTAAAGATCGTATTTTGACAAAATTTATCAAAATCTCGAAAATTATCAATCATCGTAATTAATAAATTATAAAATGTTCAGTTTTTATAGCTAAGGATTGAAAATTTAAAAAAAAGATTCTCATAAATAGTTCATACTGTAGCCAAAAAATCTAAAAAATATATGAGCACAGTTATTTTTTACAGACATTTTAAGTTCAAATTTGGGACGAAATTACATATTAAAAAACTTAGCATACCTATTTTAGTTATTTTGTTGTGAGTGTATAATACTATTCGTGGGTACTTGAAACTTCTAAAGTACACTATATTATATATCTATGAGAGTATCAGGGTTTGTTATTGATGTATAACGTGTTATAAGTACCTAATGGATATTGTGATATGATTAATTTGGAATTTATTATAGGTCAATTTTTTTTTTTAATACCATAGATATGTATATAATATGTCTTAAACCTAGACTGACATACCGTCTTCGCTCAGAATCGTTTTTATTATACAATGATATTGTATCATTGAATTCAAATTTAATATCATCCATTATACAGTGACCCACTTGTAACCTACTGTACAGCAGAGCGACATCCACTTACCCACCTTTTTTAAATACATATTCGAGTACTGTCTGTAAAGTATTTGAATATAAATATAACTACTGTAAAAGTACTTTTTTGTATATAAAAATATTTGTGTGGCTTGGTGTGGCGCAGTGCGTAAAAAAAAGCTAATAGACCAAGTGTCCTTGCAAAAATTCAATAAAAAAAAAAAAATATTTATAAGTTTATCACAAATGTATGGGTACAAACATTTATTGATAAATATTTAAATTAAATAATTAATAAATACATCCTATAATTTGTTCAAGAATTTCAGATGTAAGTATGTTATACATACCTACCTATTATAATGTTAAGTTAAGCATCAACAAGATAGATATGAATTTTAATTACTTATATTGTGTTTATATTGTGTCACCGCCTGTGTGTATTTAATAAAATCTTAAAAATTCTTAGAAGCTATATAAAATATTATTTTTTGACAAATTGTTTTTTTTTTATTTTTTAAGAAAATTTACAATCTGTACAATTTGCACAGTAAGTAAATATGATAACTGACATAATACTATACATACATACATACATATAAAACACATGTTTTGGGAAATCATCCAGCGATGGTACCCTCCAGCAAGACAAATAATTGTTAAAATTATAATATACATAACAAAATTAATATTGTTCGTTGAAATACGATGGTAAAAATAAAAAAGTATTTAGTATTGTGGAATAAAACACAAAGAAAAAGTATTTTGAAAGTATTTAAAATACACTAATAATTATTGTCAAAAGGTATTTGAAATACTAATTCACTAATTACTGCAGTATACAGCGCCGCACTGCTTTAAACCATGTGCACTGTGCAAACTGTCATATGGATTCCATGGTAACCACTAACCAATAATGATTATTGATTATTAATAAATAGTTGCTTAATCGATTTTATGCATTGTAAGTTATAATAATATATTTTCCGAGTTTACACTTGTGTTAAACAACAATTACCTATAATGGTTCGAAAATTGGGATTGATAATTTTTTTCTATGCATTCCTTAATACTGTCATGAAGACTGAAGGTGGTTTGATAACTGACTTCAGAAAATTTCGTGAATATACCAACATAGGCGTGCGCACGGGAGGGGCAGGGTGGGCAGCTGCCCCTCCTGCGGGCTCAAGTTTTCTTACAAAATAACAAAGTTTTTAAAAAAATATTATAATACAGTTTTATATAATGAATATTATGTAAACATTGAGTGCTCGATGTACAGTGCACGATGATTTTATGTTGTCCAACTTTAAGCGAACCACAAGCGATACCGCGGTGATAACGAGTGCTTATAATCTTATTATAGCATGATGTAGATTGAGATGTGATGAGACATGAAAGTGAGTAGTAATTTGACGGCATTTAATGCGAAAAACGTTCACCGGAAGCGCTAAGAAGGTCGGTTCTTTAAATAATTAGTAATTAATAATTATAATAATTAGTATGCAGTATACGAACAAATATTATAGCTCTTTACTTCCGAAGCAATTTTCGGAATTTTTAGTATTTTAGTATTTTTATGCTCAACGTGTTGATTAAATCAGAATATACCTATCTTTTTTTTAATGTGGTGTTTTATATTGAAATTAATTTTCTATTTATACTGTAACCTACAAATCAAATTGTTTATTATATACCTATAAAGTATAATTTATAAAACAGTTTAAATAATAGGTTACATGCCTACAATAATGTATAAATTTCAATATTACCAAAGAATAGAATATTATTGATACATTAATGCATGATATAATAGTGGTACTATTTTTGGAAAAATCATACTAAGGATTTACATTTTTTTTTAAATGTTGATATTTATATGTTCAACGTGTTGGTGCAAATAATAATTTACCTATCTTACTTACTTTTTTTGTAATTGTAAATAAATAGTAAGTAGAATTAGTAAATTCAGATTTCACCAACACATCGGGCATAAAAATATATATGAATGCAGTGGCGGATCCAGGGCTTAATTTTGGGAGGGGCATGGGGGGCTCAAAAGTATATGAAAGTTCCAAAATTGGCTAAACACAGTGTAAAACAAAGGAAAACTACGGTTATTGGGGGGGGGGGCAAATGCCCCCTTTTCCATCCCCCTGGATCCACCACTGTATGAATGTAATAATTTTCTTTGTTCATGTATATTAATATAATATAAAAAAACTTTGGAGTTTCAATTACTATATTAAATTTGTAGTTATTTGTAGTTTTAATGATACATAAAATGAAAATACTTCCATCACTTACATTGATTGAACTAATAACCAAAATAATATTTACTTACCTATATATTATATAATATACCTATAGCCTATAGGTACATTATTACATTCTGCCCCCCTGCCAGCAAGGTCTGCGCACGCCTATGTATACCAACATAAGGTCAAATGATGCTGATGAAAAGAGTGTCCAGGGATTTCAACAGTCAGAAAGTATGTGTTCATCATTAGTAATTGGCATATTTCATTATTTTTAGACCATATCTCATTATTACTTCCTTTCAAGCTTCTGTCATTAATTTGTAATAGAATTTTAAAATAATTAGTCACGATTTAATTTATTTCGATAAATCGCAGATCTGAAAGATCAGAGTATCCTTTTAAGTTTATACGAAATGTAGGTATAAAATATAGTTACGAGTATATTATGACAATCAAACGCTTTCGAGATAATACCGATTTCGTCATACTCTACAATAATTATAATTACAACGCACAAAGTAAAAAAAATACTTTTTTTATCTGACATTGATGAATTGTTAATTATCAAACCCTAATAGGAACCGGGTTGCATGTAAAATATATTAATAAAATGTAATGAACCAGTCATGGGCCACTAAATCATGTTTAATGGACCTTTGGTTCACTATTGATTTGTTAAGTGTTTAGTGACCCAGTGAAACAGTGTATTTTGGTGTTAAAAACCAGCGTAAGTGTATCAAATATTTTTCGATCATTATTCTTATAAAAGAGCAAAGTGGTCGTACAAAATACAAATGAATAGTTCATGTTATTATCGAGAAATCACTATTTCAGATTGTTTAATGTTTATAAGTTATTACCGTCTTAAAATAACATATATAATTTTGTTAAGTTTATAATGGTTTTTGAAATATTAAACAGACACAGCCGAGCAGGATGATCCATTACAGGTGGTAAAACAACTGAAGAAGAATCAACCGCCGAGATTCACTGGAAAAACATTGGGCATGACTATGACAACAGTTATTACGGGGGAGAAATCAAAACGTTCGAATGTGAATGGGTTTGAGGGCAAAAGAGAAAAAAGAAAATGGTTGATTAAGGTGACCGGACATGATGATCGGCCTGTCGAGGCAGCCACGGTAAAGAGCACGGGTCGCAAACACATCAATGGTAAAGCTGGTGACAAAGGTCAGCCGGCCGTGATTGGCCGATCTTCGTCAACCAGCTGCGGTACCAGGAGGTCAGTGGCGACAATAACCCGGGTAGGTGATCAGACGGCGGACCCTAACCTTAAAATGACGCCGTTAGTGCCGTTCACGCCCCGGACCCGAACCCAACCACGACTGACTTCCACCGACAGAAAGTGCACGACCAAGAAGTGGAAGTGCAACGAGGATATAGAGGACGAACCGGCGACGGACCCGTCAAATAGCATCGGGACGGTATGGCAAGACTTCACCTTGCCGACGCGACTGCCCAAGTACCAAACGCCCATAGACCCAGTGACCAAGTTGTTTCTGAAAATGACGTCCAACGATAGATGGAGAAGAAGGCCGGCCGACAAATGCACCAAACCTTACTAGGCGCGGCAGCAAGAGCCGATATCACGTTCCTCATCGTAACTAACCTGCGATTTAGCTTGTTGGTCGGTGCTCAACCAGACGTCGTACTGACCACTCGTTCCACTGCCAGCCGATAAACTGTGCCACAATGCTACGGATTAACAAGTTCGTAATTTACTGTATAGTTATATTGGACCGGTCTTGCGCAAGATACATTTTTTTATATAACTATTGCAAACAGCAAGTACAAAAAAGTTTTCAAACACTTTTTACTTCTGTTTGTGTATAATATCTAAAACTATGTAAAATAACACTTGCATATAGTTATATATACCTATACATAGTATATATTATTATATTTATATTTATAAGGTACATAATGCACGTCATTGTAAATAAACGTTTTAGAAACTAATATCATAAGAACGTTATGATGAGGAACGTAACATCCACCGCTGCGGTGCCATAAAAACTTTGGAGCATCTGTCGGTGGATAAGGTCCTCAATCTGTGGCCGTAGGTCAGCTGGCCTTGGAACGAGTGGTCAGTACGACGTCTGGTTGAGCACCGTCCAACAAGCTAAATCGCAGGTTCGTTACGATGAGGAACGTGACATCGGCTCTTGCTGCAGCGCCTATTAAGGTTTGGTGCATTCGTCGGCGGGCCTTCTTCTCCATCTGTGGTTGGACGTAATTTTCAGAAAGAACCTGGTCACTGGGTCTATGGGCGTTTGGTACTTGGGCAGTCGCGTGGGCAAGGTGAAGTCTTGCCATACCGTCCCGATGTCGTTTGACGGGTCCGTCGCCTATCTCCTCGTCGCACTTCCACTTCTTGGTCGTGCACTTGCTGTCGGTAGAAGTCAGTCGTGGTTGGGTTCGGGTCCGGGGCGTGAACGGCACTAACGGCGTCATTTTAAGGTTAGGGTCCGCCGTCTGATCACCTACCCGGGTTATTGTGGCCACTGACCTGATGAGCAGTTGCTGTCGAAGCCTTAAAATAATAATAATAAAAAAAAAAATGTTGTTGAATTTCTGCTGCTTGATGATCATCATTTCATTAAAGGCATAATATTATAATACTCAAATACTGTGGTCCATGTTTTAAATATAACAAATAATATTATAACTATTAAGAACTGTGGTATAAAATAAACTATAAAATATACAAGTTACAATGTGTTTATTACAAATACAATTTATTAATTTAATTTACATAGGTATAATATTATATTTAATAGGTACTTATTTTTGAGTTGTGTCACTATTCTTTCAACAGGCAATATACACAAAAATTATTATTTCAGTCACGAACAGTGACATAAGTCAAAATGTTTTCAAGTATTTGTTAATGACATTAATAATAATTAATCAATTTACAACATTTACCAAGCATATATTTTAATAAAAATTTAATTTAACATATCTATTCAAAACCACATAAAAATATAATAAAAATTTGATCTGTAATATATTTTTGAAACCTTAAAAGTAGCTGATTACCAACGGTTGCGTTTTTTGAGTTGTGCACTATTCTTTCAGTAATGCGATTTATTCTTTTAATATTTAAGTTATTTTTTGAGCAACTGATTGATCATGGAATACATTTTTGTCACTGAGGTAAAATTAATAACAGTAATTATCTCAAATGCATCATTTTTATTTTGTCAGCATTTTGATATTGAAGATTTTTGGTTTTAAAAAATACTTAGATGGAGAATGACTGTTAGAAAATCTTCGATTTCATGTTTTTGGTGATTTAAAAATATACATTACCTACCTTTATCATATTATTTATCGTAAGAATCGACTTAACTAACACGGTTTATTGCCATACCTATATATTATATTATTATCGTCATTGCGTGAAGCAAATTGTAAACAAGATTTTTAAATGTTTGATTTCGATTCGAGTTTTGTTGAATTGATAGTTGAACAAACTTTTTTCAATGTGGTAAAATGTATGGCCATTAACTGTAGTAATTTTCAGTAAAAACAATCACACTTCCGTATAGCATAACGTATTTACGTGCCGAGTGTACCTACTTATCTTTATTTAGTAGGTAGGTCACTAATCACTATAATTTAATGTGTTAAATTTTAATTCAATGAAAAATAATTGCATGCGAAAAACGGTTCTGAGCGAAGACGGCATATGTCCGGCTCCATTTCCAAAGATGTATTTTGATATTTATAATTTATATTTATTTTACTATTAGTACATAATACAGAAGGGTTGAACAAATTTTCGACAATAACATCGCATAGGTATTATATATCATATTATACAGCTGTTTCTGCACGCCGTAGCCCGCAACTAAAAACATGTCCGTGGATTTCCCTTATTAAACTCCGTTAAATTAAACTACACCGATTTTTAACACAGTCGGTTGCATGGTTTTGACCACTAAATACAAGTCTAAAATGATGATATACCAACAATTGTAATAACTATTTTATTTTCTACAACCAATAGCGAAACTGTAAAAACCAAAAAAATATTCGATTTTCGTAAACCAACAAATCCCGGTATGTGTCCCATTTTAAAATTCAAAATTCAAATAATTTGCATCGGGTATAGGATTAACTAGCTACATGTTCCAAATTTTAGAAAAGCATCTCGAGTGCTATGGACCTTGCTGTGGACCGCTTAAACAAACGTCACACACACACGCAAACATTAGGTAATATAATATATAAGTATGGAAAAAATAATATTTATGTTACTAATATTTTTAGACGTAACCATATCCAACTTGTTACCAGAAACTACTCTCAAAGTTGAAATAATCGAAGTAAGCTTTTAAAAGGTATAATAACATTTAAAGAAAAAATTAAAAGACATTGTTATAATATACACACATGACACATAGATCCATTCAGAAATTTAAAATTCACTGTAACTCATATGATAATATTATTATTAAATATTATTACAGTGAATCTTATAACTGATTGCAGCACATTCATATGTAACATATTTACATATGGCTCAACGTTCTACGAAAATGTCGATTAGAATATTGGATAGCGGGTTCAAATTAATGATTATTATACAAGTTTTAAAAAATATACATATATTTTTGTTAGAACAAGTTAAGTGTTTTTTATATAAAGTGAGGAAACATGGATAAGATGCATATATCCGATTCTGACCTGGTTTAAAATAGTGTTATATTTGCCTACATTTTAATACAACTATAGAATTGTCAAAAAATTATATTTTTAACTGAACTTTGTATATAATAATAGTAGTCGTGATATGCAGTTTTTTCAAACTTTGAATTCTTATTAAGTCATTTGTCATACTATAGGCGGATATACTGTGGGGTCGCAAATAAATACATTTTAAATAAAAAAATTAAGTTCCCTAATATGTATGTTTTTAAAATCTTGCCCTGTGTGATACAAATAATTAAATGTATCCGAAGGTTCAATAATATAACATTATAATATGATTAATGATAATTAATAACTGATAAGTTTTCTTATCAGTGATAACTAACCTTAAGATTGAATAACTTATTGATACCCCATATTTTCAATAACATTTCAGGGTCAAAAATTGAAAAATATTGGCTTCGATAAAACTGTATGTACCTATAGGTAAAAAAAACAATTTGCTAATAAATATATTGAAAATATACTACCAGAATGGCGTATGCTTAAATTATAGATACAGATATAGGTATTAAGGGGATTCGATACCGTGATTTTCTGTTTTTGTCTAACACACGAGCGACATAGTATTTTAGATGTGTTTTTTGTCAAACATACCAATTGATCTAATGAAGCGTTAAGAATTCTGAAAACAGATTTGAATTTGTCGTCAAGTCTACTTGAAATCGACTTTCCCACATTTTTGATATTAACCCCCAAATTTTTTAAAATGTCATATTCAAAAAGAGTATTTATCTATATGTCGCATCCACTTAGTGAAATCGCTCATTTCATGAAGTGGATGTCCACTTCATGAAATGTATCCATTTAGTGAAAATGACATTTTACTACACTATATGGACAATTTGTTGACCTTTTCATGAAGTGGATGAAATTCATTTTATCCACATTCTGTAATAGTATTACTATTATACATGAGTATTTTTGGTATTGGTATTGAACGATTTGCACTAGGTAATTGTGTATAATATGATAATAATTAAATAATATAATATAGGTAACCTTAAATAATGAAGTATAAAAATTAAATTAAAAGTTTTCTTAAACTTTATTTTATATTTTTTTTTTTAAAACAGGCACATCTTGATGTTTTACATTTGGTATTGGGTAATTGTTCGAATTGCACTAGGTACATAATTGGCTCTAAAATAAATATAAAAGTTGCTTGATATAATTTGTAACCTGTATACTGTATAAACTGGTCCGTCAGTCGATCAGGTAATTTCAAGATAAGATATCAAATAATTGAATATGATTGAACAGATACATAGTAATATACAGATAATGTATGATCCTGACATCCAGTTGACAATTGTGTGGTAATGGCTATTCCAAAAGTCGACAAAGAGCCTACAGATCCACCAAATATTTTATGTTTAGTTGTTGAAAAAAAGAATAAACTGTTTGAGTTAGGGACTAAACATGGAATGATTAAAGGATGGTAAGGAGGAGATTCCTTAAAAAAATGTGAGAAGTTTTTAACGAGTGACGAGGTTTTGTTGGACAAAGTGCTAACTATTCGAGAGACTGTTAAAGTCACAACAGGTGGACAAGGCTTTTCTTCTTGTTCATGTAATTCAAAGCCCATGTCAAAAATCAAGATCTTTCTGTTTTTAAAGAAAAATGTTGTGCAATAGTCGTTGCCATAACTCTGAACCATGTAAAAATAAATAATATAAAATATAAAATAAAGTTTAAGAAAACTTTTCATTTAATTTTTATACTTCATTATTTAAGGTTACCTATATTATATTATTTAATTATTATCATATTATCCACAATTACCTAGTGCAAATCGTACAATTACCCAATACCAAACTCGTAAATAACCTAACTCGTATATAATAGTAATATTACAGAATGTGGATAAAATGAATTTCATCCACTTCATGAAAAGGTCAATAAATTGTCCATATAGTGTAGTAAAACGTTATTTTCACTAAATGGATACATTTCATGAAGTGGACATCCACTTCATGAAATGAGCGATTTCACTAAATGGATGCGACATATATATACTACAAATACGTGTGTTAGACAAAAACAGAAAATCACGGTATCCGAATCCCCTTAATACAAGGTTAAAGTATTCAAATATGGTTAAATAAATAATACCTAAGTACCCAACCCTTGTGTTAAAATGTCAAGTCGTAAAACCAAAATTAAAGTCAATATTGTTGTTATTCACGATGTTTAGACGTACCTATATGTAGTTGAAAGACATTCAATGTTCAAAGGTTAAACGCATATGATAGTGTGGTGAATTATAATTTTTTATATTTTATAGTTTTGTAGTTTGAATATTATCAACAATTGTAAGTATCTAAATTTTTTTATTCATAATTTAAATAAACGTTTTATGAATATTGCTATTTTAAAAAAAGTTAATCTAATATTAAACATTCAAATATTCAAGTCATAGCAGAGCAGTAATATTATCACATAAACAGTGGCATACTCCAATAACGATCCGGATAAGCCCGGATACATTAAATAGTAATTTGTACTCTATATAGTGCCTACAAGAATATATTTATTTTTTCTCGTTTGAACTAACAATCGTTGGGACCCTTCACTCGTCTACTATATTTACCACTAATATGGCATATTAAATGAGGGCACATGGCCATTTTATCATTGGTTGGAGCCCACAACCATGTATTGGCCCCTGGGCCTCTGCCTTTACGGCTCTGAAAGTCTTAACCGGGCTTGAACTTATCACCAAATTAAAGAAATTACACTCTTTAAATATTATTTTAATTTATAGTAAGTTGTCTAACCATAAATCTTCTTTGAAATTGAATATTTAGCATTATTTCTTCTAGTAAAGGGTCATCACTCATCAGACACAAAAGTGGTAAGCTTCATGGTAAATAAAATATTGTGGAATATAAAGTTGTGTATAATAATTAATAATTTTAGTGCCCCCCCCCCTATAAAACTAAATCAAATACGCCACTGCTTCACTCCCTAGTATGTTTGCTAAGTGACACTTATGCCAACCTATCTATATTTTGTAATCTATGAGATCACTAATATTATTATTGAGTATAAATTGAATGTTAACAGCAATTTTTCCTATAGTTTAATATCGCATGCATCGAGTATAAATGTTTAATATTATTATATCATATGGATTTATGTTCTTATGGGTTTAAAATGACTTCTTAACTTTAGGTGAGAAATTATAAATTATAAATTAATAAATTAATAAAAATAAATTAAATAAATAATAAATTTATATTAATATTTATTTAAAATATTTATTATAATGGCCGTAAATAACAATTATGTACCTACTTTATTCCCTAATCCCTAATGACACTGTTTTGTTAAGTTTTTTTTTTTAAATTGAATAATAGTTATTAATATTACTTATTCTTATTTATTATATTTATGAGAATGTATTTATATTCTATTTAATTATTTGATTCTTATGAACACAATAGTGTAAAATATAAATGATAAAATCTTAAACGGATTACATAAACATTAATGCCTACCATTTATCATCTAAACAATGGGATGACTTATTTAAAAATAAAATTACTTTTACTGAATAAGACATTTTATCATTTTGAACTAGGTAAATAATTATAATTTCCTGCGAACTTTTTAAAATCAATTTTACACCACGACAACATCACGATATGTTAATGGACCTTATAAACTTCCTCGAAAGATGCACATGCACAGGCACATTGTGCAACAGATAACGCGATATCAAAAGAACATTCTAACTTCTATGAATTACCAATCATTATCCAACTTTGGCAGTCGGCACAACCATATAATAATTTATTGTACTCAATGTTTAATACTATATTGTGATTAAAACTTTTATTTCCCTATTATCGGACTATGTAAATGTCTGAGCTATTAAACTAACTCCCTATTTAAGCTTAAAGGGCTTTATTGGTGATTACCTGGGTACTAAAAAAACTAAAAATACAAAGTTCCTATTGACTAAATAGTAGTATAGTTTCAACTTTCAATTCTACGAATACGGCACCCTTATATAGTATGTAATCTATCTATCGTTGTAGAATAACGACACTGCAATATACAATGATTGTGTATGCAATTGTCAGAATGCATGTATAGTCCATTTTTATCTGTCCATTGTAGATTGTTGGCAAAAAATTAAAATTTCACGCTTATTGATTATTATTACCTGAATGGAAACTCAATTTGTGCCGTATTTTGTTCATATAAATAATAGTTATAAAAATACTCATTACGTACATTTGATTTACTTGTGATTGGAATTATACATTCTCTTTTTTTTCAATTTAAAATATTATCTATTTTTATTTTTATTTATAACTACGAGAAGCCCGTCATCGTTCATGCAGCTGAGTAACACGTCTGTCTTCGAAAACTAAATATTAATTATTTAATAATAGTTAAGTACCTACAAAATTTGAACAAGAACAAACACGACAATCGGATATTATTGAATTTTAAATTTTAATTATTTTTTTCAAATTTCAAATCGAATTGTGTGTTTGGTGGCTATAGACAATTTAAAACGATTATTATTTTGATATAAATTACCGATTAATTTTTTTTCGATTTCAATATACATTTTGAAGGTAGGCTATATTATTATCATTAAATAAAATATTTGACTTCGATATCACTTTTGATTTCTTAAATGGTTTTTAACGATTTTTATACAGATAATATTTAAAATCGATTTCAAACTCAGATTATACTAGGTCTCGGGATCAAATCTTTTTACCTACTAGCCTGGCCGGCTGCCGCAGTAACTTATCCTAATTTTCCCCTCTAACACTCCCGATGTGGTTTTCCTATGATTAATGTTTCGTACCGAGTTTCCTCATAATGGATATTAAGATTAAAATAGATCTTCATTGGTCCATACAACAATTCATTATGGTTAAGTCAACTTTCCCGTTATTATTTGTACACATTATTTACACTTTTAATAGAAGCCACTTGGCTCCAATATTCACGTGTATCTATTAAACGTATCATCATATTTTATTTATGTTTACACGAAAATTAAGTAATGAACATAATATGGTGTATCATAATATTATAATACCTTATATTGGACTATGACACAAACTGTATTAACGTACTCAAGGTAACGATTGTTTTTTTTTATGTTCTATTGTTTCGTATTTGATAACGTAGGTAGTTATGTAAAAAAACCTAAGTAATACAAATTTATTAATATTTAATAATATTATTATTTTCCGCTAATATAATAACTATAACTTTACTTATCCACCAGCAACGCCATGAACGCAAGTTCCGAAAAACCATTCGATGATTTTGGCTATCTGGAATTGTTATTGTTATACTACGACATCAGCAAAACCATCGTATTCTGGACGAATGTTTTCTTGATCTCTTCCACCTTGATTAACGGTAAACTGTAGCTCAGTTATGTAATGACGAATGTAAATTCCACCAATTTATATAGGTAGTTGATTTCAGGGTAGGATTTATATCGTGTAAATTCCACCGATATTTTATTTTATCTGGAAAAAATTGTATTTTCCACCGGTATGTATTTTTGCGTTGAAAACGGTGGATGGTAAAATGTACAGATTTAAACTATTTTTAGTATAGCTATACATATCGACTATCTTATTTTATTATTAATTTAATATTTATTATTTTATTTTAACTAACTATAACTATCATCGTTTTGAAATGTTATATGATTTTTAAAACTATTGTATATAAATATAATATATGTAGAATAAATCTGTACATCGATCATTTAAGTACCTGTTACCTACACCATAGTGTTAATTTTATAGGCATAGGTGAAAAAAAAAAACCAGTGGAATTTACATTTTTTTTTTACAAAATTTGGAAATTTTAAAATATCATAGAAATTAAACTATTCATAATAATATTGTGAGTTAAATAAATGTTTTTACAATCGACTTATTTTTTCTAAAATTCAAATTTACAATTAAGTTGGCTATTTTGAATTTTTATTTTCAGTATTACAAATAAAAATAAAAAATGTTATATCATACGTGTAAAGCCCAAAAGTCAATCAATTATAAATTATAATATACTTAAAAAAAATGTTTTAAATATTGAATAGAACCAAAGTTATTTAATTTTTAAGATCTTCGCCTGTTACATCCTGCAGTATAATATAACAATATTTTAGTATAATACTTATGTTACATTATAATCTCAGAAGTGAGTGCAAGTCGAGAGAATCACGGTTTACCTACCACTACGCGGTCGCTAACCAAGCGATAAATCCTATACCACATCACAGTAGGTACCTGATAATAACTAATAAGTATGATATATCATGGCGTAATGGCCTTTGTCCCCCTCCCCCCCATGACAACACACATGAAAATCCCGAACTTTTATTTTTGAAAAGAATATCATAGGTAGTTTTATTGAACCATCAAACAAATCGGTCGTTTTTAGTCATTTAAGGAAACAATTTTTCAGGAAGTTTTGGTCAGTTGTGTTGGGCTGCGAGTCAAAACGCCGAAACGGCGGTCCGAAAAATCTATTATATGTTCCGGATGAAACCACTGGACTTCCAGGAGGATACGATGCTAATGCGCCAACAGCGTCACCTCGAAAAGAATCACATCGAAAAATCCGCGTGGCTGAAACGTAAAATGGTCGAACAGGAGATACAAAACGAACGAGATGAATATTTAGATAGCGAAAGTTTATATCATCGCTTTTCCGATATTATAGATAGGTTGGTCGAAGCGTTAGATTCCGTACTGGGCACGAAATGCCGGAAAATGTCGGAAAATTGTCAACAATACTGCTGCAAAAGAGCTGACTCGATGCCGTTCGATAAACCTACTACCAAAGATCGGAGATCGTTCCGAAATCTAAACACGTCGACAGTCGGGTAAAAATGATATAACATATATATTATAATTGTATTATAATAGGCTATAAATACATAGAGTTTCATAAGGGAACACACAATATATGGTTGAAAGGAGTATAGGTACATAAGTAGTTTAGGTATTTATATTTGCAATAATAATATTTATGAGAATATTTTACGAGCAAACATTTTGGACACAAGCCCCAATTATTGCCATATATCTATTTAATACTATTTTTTTAAAATTTTTTTTATCACTCTTCAGACCGAATCTCAAGTAAGCATTTTTGGCCAATGAATTGCTCTGTCGATGTGTCCAACGCATCCACAACAACTAGTTGTGTTGGACACAAAAAATGCTTACTTGGGATTCGGTCAGAAGAAGCGCGGTAAAAAAAAAAAAATTTAAAAAATAGCGTTAAATAAATATATATGGCAATAATTGTTGCGGATTGTGTCCAAAATGTTTGCTCGTAAAATATTAATATTCTCATAATTATTATTATTGCACATATAAATACCTAAGCTACTTATGTAATCCTTTCAACCACATATTATGTCGTGTGTTTCCTTATGAAGACAGTCTATGTATTTATAGCCTATTATCCTATAACTATATATTATACTATATTATATAATTTTTACCCGACAGTTACTGTCTGCTTGTTTAGATTTGAGAACGGCGTCGAGTCCACTTCTTCACCGCGGTCGCAGCAGTATATTGTTGAGGATGACGGCTTTTCGTAATATGAAACGAAATATAATTTAATGTATAGTTAAAATTTTTTTTTCTGAGGTTCTGTTACTGGAGCAGTCTCCTTTTCAAGTTGTTCATGTTTGTATATTTTTCTATTTTATCCTGATTACTTATTGTTATTTATTGTAAACAGATTGTATATATTTAAAAAAAAATTTAAAAAAAATTAAAAAAAAATTAAAAAACATTGTTACATAAATTCATACGATTTTAGTTTCATTAAATTCAATATATAGCCATAGGTACGAAAAAAATAAAACACCTGAGAAAAAGGGTTTTAAACAACTTAGTGTTTTTTTATTTATATACTGTATTATAAGGGGCATTGACCATTTGCGCCAAAACAAAATTTATATTTTAGGGTCAATATACCAATTGCGCATCTTATATTTTAGGGTCAGTGTTCCAATTGCGCTTCTTATATTTTACGGTCAATATACAAATTGGGCTTGATATTTGCCTAGCGGCTATTTATGTGAAAAAGGTTTTTCAAGTTTGAAAAACACAAACAATAATGGTTTTTTAAACAGTAAGAACTTTTTTCATATCAGTGATATATATATATATATCAAAAAAATGAAAACAACGTTGCACAGCTAAAGTTCTAATTTTTAAATCTTGTTTCTTAGTTATGACTGTAGCCTACTCGGTTCTTAAACAGTAAGAACTTTTTTCATATCAGTAATGTCAAAAAAATAAAAACAACGTTGCACAGCCAAAGTTCTTCTTTTTATGTGGTGAAAATATCATTACTTAGTAGCCTACTCGGTTCTTTCCCTCGCAAAACAGTTTTTTTCTATGTTGTACATCATTTGTAAGACGGAGACAACACATGCGGGTGTAGGTCCTCTTAGCAACGACAATAAATTAAGATATCGGCACACACGTCTTATAATGGTATAACGTAGGATGTGTGTGAGTGTGTGACTTTATTTTATGTTGCCGCCAGAGAAAAGGAAAGAAAAGGGAAAAAAGGGTATCTGCTGCCAAAGAACAATCAAGTTCCCAGGCTCACGATAACTTTTTGATATTGCGGGTGTCCTCTTAATGGTTTTATTTGATGTGACCGATTTCTACTAACGACAGTCCGGCCGTTATTTATTATTCCGTAAGATTTTAGTTTATTATGATGGTGTGTGAGCATATTATTATTATCAGGGCTGTGAATTTAATGCACTAAAAAACCTTAAAAATGCATTAAAAATGTCAAAAAAATGCAATAAAATATGCACTTAAAATGTAAAATATGCACTTAAAATGAAAAAAAAGTAATATAAAATGCTTAAAATGATAGTATAAAATTAATTTAAAATGGTTTTTAATTTAATTTTGATATTTATATTAATATTAGGTACACAATATTAAACATTAGTAAAAAAAGTGTTTATTTATTAAAAAAAAAATAGTAAAAATGTTGATTGAATTTGAATTTATATTTGCATTAAGTTAATGCTATTCACCTGAAACATTTAAAAGAATTTTTTTTTGTATTTATTTTGTTAATATAATAAAACAAACTTAATAATTAAGATATTTATTTCCGGGTACCTTATTCATCTTTAGTATTTAGTATTTACTGTTGCATTGGACAAGTGCTCGTTTGATGTTCTCAAATAAAAATGACTGCCTATAGTCTGTCAACAAATTTTTAAATGCCGAAAAACTCCTTTCAACATCTACAGACGTAATAGGAGCATATCGCATAAAAGCCATGTCATCAAAGCTGAGGTCATCTGGGAGAGACGTTCTGGACTGTTCAGTTCCCTCAAGAATTTTCGATATATTGCAAATTGTATTAAATCCCGTATTTTTTTACAACACATTTTTTAATTTTAACTAAACGATCTTTCCTCTTTCATTTTTTATTTCTTGAATTTTGTTTTGAAATTCTGTCACAATTTGAATAGAATCTGCGAGAGTACGACCAGACAATTCTAAACGAATGATAGTTTCAGGTAGTGTTCCAAAGTTAGAATTAATGTACGCTAAATTGCACTCTAAATTCCGATCGTATAAAGCTTGTGACTTGTGTAAAATATTATTTAATAAAATATAAATTTGACATAATATATACAGCATGTGTAAAATAAAAAAAAATGTTTTCAAACAAGTCAATTGACGGAATTTGATTAAAAATACTAGAAAATGAATTAAAAAAGCAAAATATGACCTAAAAATGTGAAAAAATGACCTGAAAAATTAAAAACGTCAAAAAATGCAAAAATATGCAAAATAAAAGTTTCATAGATAGATTCGTAGTTACATAATTCAAATTATGTACTAACAAAGCTATGTTTTACCATCACCAAAAAAATGCACTTTCCTATAAATTCACAGCCCTAATTATTATCATTGCAGCGGAGTAGCGCCTATAAATACGTAAATACGTAAATCCCACGTAAATCCACACGTAAGTCGAACTCGAACGATCCGGATATATGTACCAGGAACGTATGCTGTGGTGGCGTTGAACGAGTATAACATTATTATTAAGTTTTCGTGTAGCTATGCCGCCGCCGCCGTCGAAAAAACCGAAGAACGGCGAACCAGTGGCGACAGGACCCCATGCGACTCTGGTACCTCATAGTCGGAATTTTGACATTTTTGACTCTCGGTGTCCATTATTTGTCGTTAGTATTTTGTTAGTGAACAAAAACGGTTTCGTACTTCAAACACGGCTCGTTCGAGCGGTTTGAGGTAAAAATACCTATTAAACAAATTGTAGAGTAGACTTGGTCTAGAACCGTAAGAGGCCGTTCTGGTACGAAAATTCGGCCGTAAAAACAAGGTTTCGTACTTCAAGTTTTCCTCGTTAGTCGTAGAAACATGATTTTTTCACCAAAATAAACGTGAGAAGTTTCTCTAGGTTTTGTTTTGATAGATTTTCGAATCTTTTTTTTCAAACCTATTGTTTTTGAATGTGAAATTTCCAAAATCTTCAAAATTTTTAAAAAATTATATAAAATAGACAAAAAAAGATATCGAAAATCTGGCGCCACAAAACCTATATAAACTTCTCACGTTTATTTTAGTGAAAAAATCATGTTAGGTTATCAGTTGTCTAAAAGTCATCTTATAACTATAAATTGTTTTCTTAACTAATAATTTATCTGTTAATTGAACTTCAAAACTGAAAATCGTAATAAAATATATAAATTAGTATAAAATATACAATTGATAGACAAATAGACAATTAATAAATCAATAACTATACTAATAAGCGCTTTTGAGAAAAACAAGCGTCCACGAACTGTTGACACTCAACAACCATTATAATGATATGATAGCTATTAAAAATTAATTTATATTAGATAATAAAATTATTATGTCCAAAATAATAATAATACGTCCATCGTTCGGCAGTCATAAATCGTGAGTCGAGCGAGTTTGTGAGTGAACGTTGTAATTATTTTAATCAATTCACTCTTATAAACAAATATTAAAATATAATTAGTTGTTATAGTTAATTTCCTTAAAATAAATATGTGTAGGTATATCGTACAAATGTTTCTCATAACCGAGCCTGTCCAGAAATTGTATCCTGGACACACCTCTGGATGCTAGTATATCATTAATCTGTTTTATACTATGCATAATGTATAATGTATAATGTATCTGATGATTTTCCCCGTTATAAATCTTTAACCCTACTGTAGCTTAGCAAAAAAAACATTTGTTATCACGGATAATTATATTTATTATTTAATTATTTATAAATGAACGCAACTCGGATTTGATTGAATATTAAGTTTACGTCAATAAAAATCAGTTTGATTAAACTTTAAATGCTTAGAACCCTTGCATTATATTTTCAGGCTTTTTTACAAAACAAATAAAATTTTATTGATATTTATAGAATAAAAAACTAAGAAAATTGAAAACTGACAATGTCCGTAAACAGCCCAAAAAGAGTCAAAGTATTTTAAAATTTTTTTGATGTATAGTAAATGAAGATACAAACATTCAGTAAAATGTCCATGTATCTACAGTAATATGTTTTTGAATAACAATTAAATAACAAAAGGTGGGCAAGTGGGTGTCGCTCTGCTGTACAGTAGGTTACAAGTGGGTCTCTGTATAATGGATGATATTAAATTTGAATTCAACGATATAATATCATTGTATAAGAAAAACGATTCTGAGCGGAGACGGTATGTCAGTATATGTATAAGACATATTATTATATACATATCTATGGTATTTAACAAAAAATTGACCTATAATAGGTACCTCTAATAAATTCCAAATTAATCATATCTCAATAT